CACTTACCTTCATTTGTATCTAATCGTTTGTTGTACCGTTACTTGTTGCCTTCGTTGTACTTATGGTTCAGTTATATGTCGTGTGCCTATTGGTTACTCGCCTTACCTTGTACCTTTTATGTCATAAGGATAAAACCTTAGTAAATGACCGCTGTTAGGACAGAAGCAGGGTGAGCCACTTCCACGGCGCTCGCTCGCTTACTACTCCCCGGTTGTGTCCACGCAAAGAAACGTTGCAACATGGAATTAGCCGAGAAAGTGTACGGAATGAGAGAAGGCTGAAACTAGATGGTTACAAAATGGACTTCCTACATTACTCGAGCGAAGCGATGAAGAAAGAAATACTGGAGAAAGCTCGTCGGATGCGATGTCTGGTCGGTGCGGGTTGCTTGAATAATGTGTTCTTCAATGAAGAGAAAATCTCTACGACCGAGCGTTTTTACAACTGCCAAAATTATAGTCAACCCCCAAAAAAGCAGATCCGTTGACTACAAACATTTTCCAAACACAGGCACGGACGGACCGAGATTTGCTCTGCCGTGAAACTTTTGTCTTCATCGAGGCAACATTAAGAGCATTTCTGTTATCTACCAACAATGTGTTCTTTGCACCGCAGAACTTCCGTCCAGATGATTTGTGCTTTAGCTGCGTTTCGCCAAATCCACGATTACCTTGCGAAAAGCTGTTGTCGTGGTTTTGTATCCCAGCTCGCTTGATCTTAACTCAATGAATTGCTCCTTTGATCTGTCTTGCAGCAAAAAATCTCAGGAACCCAATGCGCAGCGGTGGATCACCTAAAGGCGGTGTTGCTGCACGTTTCAATTGAGTAGAATTATGCGCGACCGATGTCGCACACTTAAAAACCGACTGAACGAATGTATTCTCGCAGAAGGAGGCTTTTTTGAACATAGATTGTACCCTTTTTGTACACTGTTGTTGTGGCTTCTCAGTCTTGGATTTGATGAGTTAGGTGTTCATGTGGGTTTTATACTATGAGAATATTTCGAAAGACTGCCAGAACTTTTTTGTCGCCCGGTATGTCAATCCCATCACAAGGGACAGATAGTGAGCGTAAGTGCCTTCAGAGAAGGCGTCTCATCTTACCCTTCCGGCGCGGTTTGTAGAAGTGTTCTACTGTCGCTACTAATCTCCTACAGCACAGGTGCTTCGCTCCCATGGCCACGATGCCAAGCGGTCTTTTTGTGCACATAGTTGCGGAAACACTCACCGCCGAGCGTATGCGTTGCATGTTTGCAGTAGCCGCACGTTAGGAAAGCAAAAGCAAGCACTGTACCAGTGCAGTCGTACTCTCAACGACTGAAAGCGAGCATGGACTCATAAGACAAGAGATACCTGGCTTTTGTGCGGCTGAGTGCTTTCATGATTCCGACTGTCACTAAGGGCGGTGTTGCGCTATAGCGGTGCAGTCCATAGGAGAACACTCCTAAGTTCTTTACTCGTACAGTTCATTCGTTAGCATCTGCTACGGTTGTAGGTTGAAACAATGCTGCTACACAAAACTACCACGCGTCTCTCACCACGCTGCACAAAAATCACTTCTAGAATTCATGGAATATTTCCATTTCAGCCACATAAATTTGGATTCGTTTGAGACAGAGATCACTTCCAGAACACTTGAACTGCTCATATTCTAGGTGACACAGGATTCGATTTCATTCCGAGTAAACCCTAAGCCAGTAATGCCATAATGGTACCTACCAATGACAATTGAGATTACGATAACACTCATCCACACAGTCTCCCAAATATTTCTTAAGGAGGTAATCTATTGAGCTGCAAAGATGACAGCGTCTGTAAATCGCTCAGCGCACGCCACGTGAGCCCCACCAGTGAGTTTTTCTTTCTCCTCACCATAAAAAATAAAAGAAGACCAAGAGAGAGCATCTGAGAGCGTGCTCAGCAGCTATTATAAAGTTGTACAAACTGCTGTAGTGAGCGCGTAGTTACAAAGCACTGAGCGGATAGCTACGAAAGAAGCTTGACGTTCTGACGAATTGACGTTTCCGCAACACTTTTTCATTCTAACCTGGAAGCACACTCTGCAGCTTGTCTTCGTCCTCGTGTGCTTAATATGCTATTGTCACTTGCGAGACCTTCCGCTAAAGGGAGATGTTGCCAATCCTCATTTATATTTTCCTCCCTGGAAATATTGTGCAAAACAAGGTAAGCAAGTTAAAGTGTACTGGGATTAATGCAAGCCTATCTAGAATTAGTAGTTACTAGCACTATGACACCGCTGACCCTTTTTATTAGGTTTTGTGCCGCAAACGTTTGTTAATTAGGAGTTATGATGATGACCGCAGTGTAGTAGTCAAACCTCTCTCCATCGCGAACCACCCAGATAACTCGATGCTTCTGTTGAGCATTCTAGCTAACTCAAGCAGAGCGCTCGTTGTCAACTCGTGAAGTAAGTTCAGAAATGAACCTACAACCATCTATGAATGCATTGAAGTAGAATTTATGATAGCGTTAACAAAAAGGCTTCTACACAAATCGTTGATTCAGTAAGGCAGCGTTCAGACTTGTAGCGCTACAGCGTCGCGCTACAGCGCGCACGCTAAGCGTCGCGGCTCAAGCGTGCGCGCTACAGCGTCGCGCTACAGCGTCGCGCTACAGCGTAGCGCTACAGCGTCGCGCTACAGCGTCGCGCTACAGCGTCGCGCTACAGCGTCGCGCTACAGCGTCGCAGCCTACGTCATCTGTACCAGAACTTCAGCTTCTATGTTTTTGTCATTTTCTGCTAATACACCCTCTTCCTATATGTTTACTCATATCTATCATGACTTAAGTGAGCTCCTGTTTCACGTTAGTCATATTTTAATTGCAGTTATCTACAGAAGGACCTTATATATTGGTTTATTTATGCTTTAATCCTCTCTCGAGACGCGAACAAGCGCTATCGCGATTAAGTTGAAAAACAGAGCAATAACACAACGCGTAGATCAAACGATGGCGAAAATCGAGAGAAGTAAAACAAAAACAAGTAAACAAAAACATGTGCAATGTTATGTAAAAAACAGTATGAGAGCGTATGAAATTGAGCATAACTATAACTTATAAATGCAACACGTGAGAAAGAAAGGAAAAGAAAGCACTAGTTTAAAATGTGATTAGACATAAAGCTCTTAATACCAGTCGCTAGGAATGAGAGTCTCGTATAATATGAGAAACCCCTGAACTAGATTGAAGAGCGGCCAGCCTCTTGAACTCGGACAGCGACTTTTCAAGAACATTTTAGCCCTCAAGGAGTTTACTTGACAGTTCGAAAGCACTCTGTTTGAAAACATATGGAAGCCTCGACTTGGTCCTGCACTACTGAAGCTTGAGACTTACAACTACCTCCCCCTTGTGTGAGAGCGAGAAACATGTGAAAAGTCAATGAGATGAGACCACTACCTACCTGTGGGTCTTAAAAAGCCATAACCAAAGATCAAATTTTCTTCGTCGACTGCTCAATGTGGGCAGACCCACCTGCATTCTCCTTTCCGCACCACCGGGAATGAGCCTATAGGTAAGACCACTGCAGCGTAAAACGAGCTTTCGCGTGAAATTATTTTGGACACTCTCCATTAACTCTTTATCCTTCTTCTTATGAGGGGAAAAAACGTGGTCCCATTCTCAAGGATAGGGCGCACATAAGTTTTGTAGGCACGGAGAAGAGTATCACAATTTTTCGTGCGGAGAGCTTTGAAGAGATTGTATATCCTGAAATTAGCATTCCTTACAATTTTCTTAATATGGTTTTCAAATGATAGCTTGTCATTCATCAGAAAACCCAAGTCCCTAACTTCACTAACACTTTTGAGAGGAGCACCATTAATGGTGTAGGTATAGGACGCGGAACTCCTACCTCGGGTCAGCCGCAGAACAACAGTCTTTTCGGGGGCCAGGGGGAGCTCCCAAGTACAAGACCAGTTAAAAACATAGTCAATTGCTTTTTGTAGAGCCATTCTATTTTCAGTGCTACATGTAGTCGTGTAAATCTTAATGTCGTCAGCATACATAGAGCAGGTGACACCAAGGGGAGAAATGCCAGAAGGGAGATCATACGTATAAATGAGGAACAGTATGGGGGAAAGAACACCGCCTTGAGGAACACCACTAGGAGCAAGAAGGACTGAAGAAATGACTGCCTAATCTTCACTTGGTATGCACGATTTTCAAGATAAGCATCTAATCCAGGAGAGGATCCTCGAGTGAATGTCAACAGATAGACATTTTTTGTATAAGCTTATTGTGGGGTACCCTATCGAATGCTTTGGCGAAATCAAAGTACACAATATGGGTTGACTTTTGGCTATCCATAGCCATAGACCAGTCATTAACAGAGGAAAGCAGAGCTGTTTCGATAGATCTACCTTGCCAAAAGCCATGTTGACACCTGGGTATCACATTGTGCGTAGTCAAATGTTGAATTATATAAGTCTTGAGGATTTTTTCGAATGTTCTAGCAAAAACAGGGGTTATACTTATTGGTCGGTAGTTTTCAGGATTGCAATAGGGGTTTTTTTAGGAATAGGCGTAATAAAGGATAATTTCCAACGAACAGGACCTCTGACCGCATGAAAGACAAGTTAAACAAAAACTCAAGAGGATAACTTATAACAGGGAGCACCTTCTTTATGAATTTCAGAGGCAGGAAATCAGGAGTTATCGAAGTTGAGCTAGGCCACCGAGACAAAATTTTAACGATGTCTTCCCTGTAAAACCAAACTACTGGCTCCATGACAGGAAAAAGAGGGGTTGCCCCATCCTCGATGACATCAGTGGCGGTAGTTGCGAATGATTTCTGAAACTGTCGTGCTAGAACCTCCGCTTTCCCTTCATCGGTGAAGACTATTTCCCTATCCCCATCACTGGCAACGAGGGCAGGAATAGTCTTCCTATCTTGAATCCTAGACCTTATATAACTATATAGCTTAGAGGGATTTCTAGAATCTATTACCTTCTTCTCCAAACACTCTGAGAATCTGTGAAGCTTCTTGTCCAATTTACTACTATAGTTTTTGAACTTGTTCCACTCATCATCTGACCCAATGGAGACAGCCTTTTCCACAGGTTTCACGATGTTTCGATCATTCTTTTCAAATAGGAGGAACGTGAGAATAGGTCGACTCTACTTTAACTAATGGAACAAACTTGGAGATAGCATGATGAAGTATTGCTAAGAACATTTCGTACATATCATTGAGTGAAGAAACGTTACTGAAGGAGCCCAGCCAATCAATACTACTCAAATAAGTCCATAATATCATCGTAGTTTGCAGCACCGAAATCTGGTTTCCAGGCTAAACGGGGCTTCAAAGCTTGGAGATTCAGAGAGAATTCAACAGCCGAGTGATCGCTACCTCCTACAGGTGGAACTACATTGATATGGCAAACAAGACCTAAAAGGTTTGAGAAAAGCAAAGATACGAGTTACCTTTTGTCGGAGAGGGTACCATTTGCATAAAAGCGTGGGAGTTGAATAGTTCAATGAAACATGTTGATAATGAAGATATTCTCTCGGCATTCATGGCACAACCGTTTTTCCAATCGACATCAGAAAGATTAAAATCGCCAAGAACAAGGCAGGGGTCTTTGACGGATGAAAAGTCACTGATTACTTTAATAAGCTGTACGGAATTGACAGTATTGCAACTAGGGGTGCGGTAGATAAGTATAATACGAAGAACCCTTGTCAGCCAAGTACACATCAAGTGTACGAGAACGTTCATATGCGTCTTGGACCCGATTCCGTCAATAAAGGCCATCTCTGATAGTAGGGCAAGTATTTTTGAGAAGAACGAACGAGTACTCCTCCACCAGTTTTGTGTGCTCGATCACATCTGACTACAGAATAACAAGAGTTAAGAAAGGACAAAAGGGGAGCAGTTTCATTTTTGGCACTCAGCCAGGACTCAGTAAGCAGAACCAAATCATAGTTTTTGCCAGAGATCGTTGCGGTGAGCCGTACAATTTTTCACTAAAGATCTTATATTGGCAAGGATGCAGACCAAATTAGTTTCAGATGGCCTAAGAATCGTTAGGGGTTTCCCGAAGAATTATTACGAGAAACAGGGGTGTCATCCCTACGTGAAACGCTAGGATGAACATCAACAATGCGTTTACTCTGATTCACCAAACGCTCAGCTCGCCTGCGATCCCTCTCCTCTTTAGTAAGAGAAGGACGTACATATACGCCCTTGTGGGGGAAGAAACGCAGACGAGGTGCGCGCTTGATCACTTCCTTTTGGAATCGACTAGTCAGCAACACGACCTTAAGCAATCTCGGTCTATGACTACTAGGTTTGCCCATACGATAAACGCAATTAGGAAAACCTTCAATACCTAGAAAATCAAGAAGAGAGTTGATGCAGCTTACATCATGCTTAACCATTTCAAAAGAACTTTTTCGAGTCACTTTCAGGTATCCCTGAGACCACAATTGCACGCTTCAAATCAGGGTCAACCTCAAAATTGGAAGGCATGACTCTACGTTGGCAGCATTAGAACAGTCATTTACCGATCGATCAACGTGCGAAACTGAGTTTGGCGACGAACATGACAATAATTTTTCAATTTGAGATCGTAATGATGAATTTTCTTCCCTGAGTCTACGATTCTCCTCGAGAATTTCGTCGTTACGCTTGCTCAGTTCCATGAGTTGCCGCCGCGTGTCATCCAGGATGTCGATGATGATCTTCATGTAAGGAGGCGCCTCCTTATCGGCAACAACACTGAGCAGACGGTCGAGATCAGGTCCACGAGGCGACAAGTCAAGGCGGCAACGCTTAACTGGAACAGACGACGAGCGCGACGGAGACGATGAGAACATATTGAGCAAAAATTCTAAATAGAAGCGCAGATCGACGACTGGTAGAGCAAAAAAAATAATCGAAGGTCGATAATCTGCACTGTACCGTTGAAAAATTTACCGTTTGTAGTGGCGTGAGAAAAAAATCTAGAAATTTTCACCCTCCGCCACAAAGGATGGACGCAGAACAAGTAGCAGGAAGAATAAATCAGGAATACCACAGCAACTAGCAGAATAGTAGTAAGAAGACAGGGTTGTAGATGATAATTGGAGAGAGCGGGGAAATGTGACCGCTCACTGTGCAGGCACCGCTCAGACTGACTCAGATTTGTCGTTTTAGACTTTAATTATTTGGTTTCAGAGTTGCTATTGATGTTTGATGGCTTTGCTTGATGTCTTGCAGTGCTGCCTCGTGTTGATCCCGATTGCGAAATTGTTTTCATGTATCAAAAACTACATTAAAATGTGATAAAGTAGAAAACAGGAGCTCACTATCAGATAAATATGAGAAACAAAGAGAAGAGGGTTGAATACAGAAAGAAAAAACATAAAAGCTGGAGTTCGGTACAACTGTAGCGCCACAGTAGCGCGACGCTGTAGTACAAGTCTGAACGCTGCCTAAGCGTGTCGATGAGAGCAGCATCAACGTATTTTGGATGCATTATTTCGCAACCAGTCGCATGACCCGGCTGACGCCGGGCTCCCGCCTTCCTGTGAGCCCGGCTTATTGTTCTGATGAGTTGGTATGCCCTGTAACCTTTATAATCAGTCACTGACTGACGAGTTAGCTGGAGGGCAAATCAATCAACCCCAGCAAGCAGCGGTTAGGCACTTCAAATAGTGCCCACTAATGTTGTTGAACCACGGTAAATAAGGTATCAGTGATGACATTATACAGTGGAGCTCATCCAAATTCGATTGAAATCCACTTCCTTCAGTGATCGAATAACTTGCCCCTACCTGTAAAAGGGAGAGTGCAGATAAGCACGGCAACTGAATCGCTGTTGAGTATTATCGAATCTTATCAGGTGTTGATATCTTCTGTCACCCACCGAAAGGGTTCCCGTCCTAACGTGTATATCACTTCTTGGAACCAAAGTTCCACAGTTGCTGCAGCCTGCGCTGCGAATTCGGTGACCGTCCTCGTCTAGGGCCCCTTATCGGATTATATCTGAAGTTATCCGCTACTGTCACCCACCAAAAGTGTTATCGTTCTGCCGTGTATATCAGTTCCTGGAACCAAGGTCCACAGTTGCTGCAACCTGCGTTACGAACTTGGTAACCCTCCGCGTCTAAGGCACCTATCGAGTGTTATCAGAAGTTATCAGCTTCTTCCACCCACCGAAAGTGTTTCCGTGCTGCCGTGTATATCACTTCTCAGAACTGTCATCCTACCGGTCCTGTGACGCTCGCTATGAGTTACTTGGCATAAAATGACGCACACGCAAACAGACATCCCACACATACTTACAGACATACAGCCGTCATCCTTGCACTTGATAGTCAATGTCAGTGCGGCTGCGTGCGGCGCGGTCGCCCGCACCACCGTACAGCACCTGAACCAGGAAGTGACATTACTGTATTATATCCTTCGTGTTACTCGTTTTCTATCACTTTTTGTCGCATACGCGTTTCAACGAAAAGGCTGAGAAGGCTTCAAACAGTGTGCACGCTCCTTCTCGCCGACACGCCCCTATCAAGTGCAAGGATGACGACTGTACATAGCGGGTTATATATAGTAGGATACCTCTAAGCTAAGCGTGCAGCTCGTGCAAGGGCTCGGAGCTCACCAAATGGTTGTCTTACGTAGTGAACCGTATTATCACATTCAGAGCAATACCTCGAATTGATACTACGATACTACAACATGGAATGGATCGCGAATCTGCTAGCGGTTCATCCCTCCTCTTATCCTCTTATCGTTTTCACTGATGAATTTATGCTTTTCGTCGTTGCGTTGTGCTTCTGTTCGAGCACTCCTTTTTCTCCTTTCAGTTGCCTGCTTAATCCCGTGAAGCATTTTTGCGGAAGGACAAACATTATCTTGGATTTCCTTTCATCTTTGATATGTTTGATACGTCTTGATAAGTTGCTCGCCTTACAGTGACTTGTAGCAGTCACTGGTCACGCTTCTGAAGGTACAGAACTCAAGGTTTTACTAATCTTTTATTACGGCCCACAAAGTGATCGGGCAAGGACTTCAAATCTTGTCCGTTTTGAGTGCTCAACACTTCACGTCTTGATGTCGATCGTCCTGGTCGTCTCGAACGGCTCTAACCAGACTAGGCTCCAATCATCCAGTCGACCTCCTTTTATATCGAATTTTATGATGAAGTATGTAAGCATAATCCGAAGAGAAAAGGCTATTCTGAAGCGTCATAATGCAGCATTGCTCACTGACCCACCAAAAGATAAGATGCTGAGAACTTGAGCGGCTCGCTTATCGCTACAGGAACTGTATATGAGAGAAAAAGCTTGTAACCATAAGTTAAGTTGCGCTTAGCGACACTCCCAGCGCGGCTTTTGATTCTGCTGCTTCTCGGCTTGGTCCAGCTCGCGCCTTACTTCTTGGATGGCCTCTCTTATTCTGACCGAATCTGGAATCGTGCACAATGCTTTATGGTGCCCGTCGTCCTTGGGGATGATTAACCGTAGAACTGTGCCTCTTACGACGTCATAGTACCAGCAGTTCTTCTCTTCGTCTTTACATCTTGAGTACGGATCACAAAATCCTAAGCATTAGGTGCATCTTCTGTTTCTTGACACGTAATCCTTCTTCGAGCTCTCTGAGATCTGCTCCAGTCTGTCTACCTTCGTTCTTCGATTGACCTTGGGTAGCTGGACTTCGAGTTTTTCCCTTGTTATTTTCATCCTCGGATGTGTCTTTCTCGTCCTCTCGTTGGGTGCTCTCGTGGATGAGTTGTATGAGATAGTCCTCATCCGATATCACTTTCATCTTCCGCTCCTGCTCCCTCGGAATTGTCGCTATGATTCCTTTTTTGTTGTGGGTTTCTTCTGCTTTCGTCTTTATGTGATTCG